CTCATCTCCGTGTCAAAGCCAAAGAGCCAGCACTGTCTGAAGACGTTTCCATGGTCATGTGGCTGGCATGCCTCAACGCTGAAGGCGCACGGAACTCTGTTACCTTCCCACCAAAGGGGGTTCCTATTTTTCTACTTGCATTTTTAACGTGTTTTCGAACTGCTAGGTTGGCAGAAGCTGGGACAAGTCACGGGAGCGCCCTCCGTTACGCAGCGCTAGGGATTTGAACCGCCAAATGCCGACCTTTCTGATCGACAAGCTCAGCGTCTTAGCCCCTGAGCCACCACGCTCCTTCTGTTATTATACCCATCTCTATTAAAGTAGCTTTAACCTAGTTGTGATGTTGATTTCCTGTTCCAGTCTACCCAGTAGCCTGACGGGTATGTCTAAAAATCAGACAGTCCATCATAAATACCCACCTGAGTACATGGAAGTAACGAATCTCTAGTAACCAGAACATGCTTTTAAGTTGCTTCCTATGCTTGTTTAACGTTTGTTGATTTGGCAGATTCCTAACTTGCTTCCTAGCGTTTCACACAACCAGCTCTTCCCCTTTTGCCCGAGGCTAACGGACCAGCTGGTGAAGGAACACCAGCGACAAGTGAAGTTGCAAACTTCGAAGCTATTCTTTGGCACCGCAAGTTTTTGATGCGTCTTGGCAAGGGAAGCTCCGATTTGGCAGACGAGCTTCCCTCTCTTGGGAAGAATCGACGACTCAATAAAGAGCCGATTCCTCTCTTAATGACTGGGCTTTGCCAAGCTTAACAAGAAGGACTTCTGTCCAGTTTGGAAATACGGAATGGCTGGCTGAACCTGGATCTGTTAGGAGGCTGGGAAATGTGGTGTGCAGAAGAGTCAGTGTGGAGAGTGCGCGGCGGAACGGGATGTGATGTAGCGTTATCCAATAATACGATTGAAATTGGAAGGGGTCTTGTGGTGTCCTGCTAATCTACCCCCTGCTCCATCCAGATTCCACTTGTAGCATTCAAGTGACAGATGGTCATTGAATTGCTTCCTAAGTACCTCTGCAAAATTGGCCTCAGTTTATTCCCAGCGTCTGATCTTCCATAACGTCTGGAAGTTTCTTCTCTCACCGAAGCTGGCCTTCTACCGTATGTCACGTCAATTGCTCATCCTGATTTTGGAATGGAAGGGAATATCCTTCTCCACTGGCAACCTTTCTGAGAGTGGAAGACAACTGTCTCCGTGCCTTCTCCTCATCACACTAAGTGATAACACATTTGGAATGCAGAAAATTCATTTATTCATTATAAGCTCATTTCCACCACCACCCCCTCTGGGAATTATGGGTATATTTATGACTCGGCTGGATGCTGTCCCATTTTTTTTTCACACCTCGCACATAGCAAGCTATGATATCAAATGAAAAAAAAATGTTGGCAAAACTGTTTTGCCTTGGCCAGCTATTTTTCCATCGGTAAGGTCTTAATTCTTGTTTATCTGGGTGTTGGTTTCTGGAGAGGATGTGTTCTGGTGTTGTTTCCTTCTTAATTCCTAAGATAATAAGCAGGGATTAACACCAGACAAACAAACNCTTCTTCTTTTGCCCTCCATCGTTCCCAGCATGAGGCTCTTCTCCAGGGAGTCCTTCTTCCTTCTCATCAGGTGGCCAAAGCCTTTGAGTGTCCTCTTCAGGATCTGGCCTTCTAAAGAGCAGTTTTTAAAAATAGTTTATTTATATATTTTCCCTTAGCATACATACTGCAATTGCTTTATGAGCATCATATTGTCTGGGTCAATTTGTTTACATAATAGTATATAATATAATAATATATTGAACATAAGACATGCATAACGGTATTTTTCCAATTTCTCATTTTTTTAAATAAAAAGATTTTCTTTCTATTTCTCATGCATACATTCACAAATACATTATTAATGTTCTGTGTTGTCTTTAAACATTTATGGCAAATCCATTTCGCCGCCTAAAAATTTAAAAATATAATCGAGGTTGCTTTCCTGTCATCCCGTATACCCATCTTGTTTTACAACAAGCCTACTCCTTCTTCCCTCTCTTTTTCTCCTTCCCTCCCTTCTTCTCTCCTTTCTTCTTTCCTCCTCTCCTTTTTCTTCTTCCCCTTCTCCTTCCTCTCCCTCCCTCCTACCTTCTTCGCCTTCCTACCCTCTCTCCTACTCTTGCTACCCTTCCCTTTCTTCCTCTCCTTTTCCCCTTCTTCTTTCCCTCTCCTCTCCTTCCTACCAATTTCTCATTTCTACTTCTATTGCCCAGCCATTGATAAAATGCTTGAAAAATGTTCTGTATCTTCTTCATCTTTTATCTTTAATGTCACCCTACCCGTTTCTGCCCAGTCTAGTATTTTTTAAAACGTATATTTGTGGTTGAAGGAACTTATATGGACATCGTGGCTTAACCTGCTAGAGATAAGAGTTGAGGTTGGACTTCAGCCCTCAGGCGTGGTGGATTCCTAGAGGTTTTTAGAAAGATATTGGAGAACCATTTGTCTGAGATGGTAGGAGGTTGGACTGGAAGACCTCCAAGGTCCCTTCCAATTCTTGTTATGCTGTTTTCCTCCCTTCCTCCCTCCCTTCTCCATCACTGGAGGCTTTCAAGAAGGTATTGGAGAACCATTTGTCTGAAATGGTAGAAGGTCCTCCTGCTTGAGTAGGAGGTTGGACTGGAAGACCTCCAAGGTCCCTTCCAATTCTTGTTATTCTGTTATGCTGTTTTCCTCCCTTCCTCCCTCCCTTCCTCCATCACTGGAGGCTTTCAAGAAGGCATTGGAGAACCATTTGTCTGAGATGGTAGACGGTCCTCCTGTTTGAGTAGGAGGTTGGACTGGAAGACCTCCAAGGTCCCTTCCAACTCTGTCATTCTCCTTGGGGAAGCCATGATTGGAGAAGAGCCGAGGTGAAGAGCCGAGGTGA